AGTGCAGTAAGATATTTTGAAAGAAAGAGAAAGACACGTTCACACAACTTTTACATCATTTTAATTCTATTTTACTTATTGTTAATCTCACACTGTGCATAATTTATAAATTAAACTTTATCTTAAATATGTATGTATAGGAAAAATATAGTTACCGATAGGGTTCACTACTACCTGCGGTTTCAGGCAACCATTGGGTGTCTCAGAACCCAGTTAAGTGGAGGAACAATTGTAATTTACAATACAAAGAATTACCAAAGGAACAGTTTTCTCTCAGTGTGACTTACCAGTTACTTGATTGAAATTGGGGCCTTATTTCAAGATCCCAGGCTAATCCACACAACAGTAATAGCAGATATTTTGATTACCGACAATGTCACAGGCTACATAAATATGTATACTCACTTCATTCTAACATTACTATGAAGTGGGTAATATCACCAATCCCATTGCAATAATGAGCAAAGCAAGACTCAGAAGTTAAGTGACTTTCCCAAGGACACATATTAAGCAGTTGAACTCTACCATAACCACCTGTATGGTGATTTTCATACAGAAAGTACTTTCACATATAATAGGCTGTCAATTCTGAGAGAACTTATAATTAACCCGATTTAACAAAGGAGGAGCCTTGTGGTTTGGGCCTGTAATCCCAGCTACTTGGAAAGCCGAGGCAGGAGGATCCCTTGAGTCCAGGAGTCCTGCACCAGCCTGGACAATGTAGCGAGACCTCATTCCAAAAAAAGAGAAAACAACAACAAAAAAGAGGAAAAGGTCTCTAAGATGTAAAACACTAAATGGAAGCATCCAGTGTTCATTACACCATGCCATTTATAAATGTCCTTATCATGAAATACTCAAGAGACAAAAAAAAATACTGACTTACAAAAGCAAAATTGAGTAGCATGGGACCATAATTTGGAAATACTAGGTAAAATCCTACCTAACAATGGTACACAGTGGATGAGGAGTAGAGGTGAGAAATGAAGCTTATACTTGGGTTTATGCCATGGGGAACACCTTGACCGGAACTGCTTTATAACTGGGTATTTTTTGTTTCAGTGGTAACATCCCAAAGGATAAGGTCCAAGACAGCCTCATCCCTTTAGGTACTCATACTAAGTATGGTTCTTATAAGATTTGGTATCTGTACTGTTTATATTTTATATTTGATGTAAATATAACATCTTAACAAATTGATCAAGCTTCCTACTTAAAGATATATCAGGTACAAAATAACTAAATTACCTTTAAGAGATGCTTCCTTTCAAGTATGATACAAATTATCTTATAGAGATAGCTTGTAGATTCTCTTAAAATAAAAACTTTATACTTGTACTTCAACAAGTTTCTGCAGTAACAGCATGACCAGAATCTGGTAAACCGTAACTTTTAAACTCTTTGAAATTTGGCCAAAATAAGTTACTTGAATTGGTTTTGGTAATACAGACTTTCAGAGGTAACTCTTACGTGAGTATATTTTACTAACTGTATATATGTAAAATCTGAACAAGTGGTTGGTAATAATGATTGTTAAATACAGTAGGGTAGACTTGATGTCTAGACAAGATAATGGTGAGAGCTGCACTTTTAAGAACATTCACTACTTGCTGATAAAAAGGAAAAACAAAGAATGTTTCTGTTATGTAAGGTTACTATGAAATGCTTAGAATTTGAACCTACAACAATAGATACAGCTGCCACTACTTTGAAAACTATTTCGTTTGAATCCATCATATGCTAAAAGCATATGTCCACAAGTCTAGTTAACATTTTCAAGACTGTACATTTGACTAATCTTTACTTCTAGCCTCTTTAAACATAAAACAAAAACAGCTTACTATATACGAGAAAGAGCAAGAGCTAGTGAGAATCATCAGGCGGTGGGTAGTGGCTGAAACAAGACACTGTAAAAAGAGAAAAGGGCCACAGCTACAACACTTACAATCAAATGTAACATCTGTTTATGGAAGAAAAGCTGCTCTGCATGAATTAACTCAACAAATACTAATTACTGATTGAAAAAAAACGTATTTTAACGTTAAGAACTCTGTGTCCTTCATAAAAATATTTTTTTACAAAAACAAACACCTTAAAATTCTATAGTTAAATCTGAAATTAACTATACATAATTGTGTACAGAAAAGTAATATTTAACGTTTAATTTTTAGTATGATTTAGATCAGGAAGAGAGCTAAGATTATTCAGCCCAAGCTTTTTAATTGAAGGGAAAGCAAAGAAAACCTACTAAGTAGCCCATATGGTTGCACAAACGGTTGTATTATGAAATTCAAAATTAAAAAATATATTAAGCAGATTTAGATTTGAAATAGACTTATCAAAGCAAATGACTATAAACAATCAACAAAATGAATTCTGAATTAACTCAATTTTTCTTAGCCAATTGTAATAAGGAAACGGGTTCCTAAATGGCTAAGAAATAAAATTTATTTTACAAAACAAGGCTGGCATAGCTATGGCTGTAATAAAAACTGCCTTTACAGAAACAAATATTCAGGATAAATATTTTAAAGTTAAAAGAAAGAGGTCGGGCGCGGTGGCTCAAGCCTGTAATCCCAGCACTTTGGGAGACCGAGGCAGGTGAATCACGAGGTCAAGAGATCGAGACCATCCTGGTCAACATGGTGAAACCCCGTCTCTACTAAAAATACAAAAAATCAGCTGGGCATGGTGGCGCGTGCCTGTAATCCCAGCTACTCAGGAAGCTGAGGCAGGAGAATTGCCTGAACCCAGGAGGTGGAGGTTGCGGTGAGCCGAGATCATGCCATTGCACTCCAGCCTGGGTAACAAGAGTGAAACTCGGTCTCCAAAAAAAAAGAAAGAAAAGAAAACCAAAATAATCAATCCCTTTTCCCAGGTGTCCCTGATTACTCTACTTCTGGGCACAGTAGCTTAGGCCTGTAGTCCCAGCACTTTGGGAGGCAGGGTTGGTAGACCTCTTGAGCTCAGGAGTTGGAGACCAACATGGGTAACAAGGTAAAACCCCATCTCTACAAACTTACAAAAAACAATTAGCTGGGAGTGGTGGTGCACACCTGTAGTCCCAGCTACTCGGGAGGCTGAGGCAGGAGGATTGCTTGAGCCTGGGAGGTGGAGGCTGCAGTGAGCTGTGATGGCACCAGCGCACTCCAGCCTGGGCAACAGAGTGAGACCCTGTCTCAAAACAACAATTTAACAACAACAACAACACCTCAAAATGGTACCCTCCCTGCATCTAAAATGATTTTTACGTATATTTTATCTACAAATTACCTGATAAATATATAATCAGCCCTTCTTTCAATAGATAGCATACTTATAGGCAGCAGGCCCCAGCCTGACATAGGAGGACTGCTTGATGCCAGGAGTTTGAGATCAGCCTGGGCAACAGGCTGTGAGATTCTGTTACTACAAAAAAAAAAAAAGTTAAAAAATCAGCCAGGCATTGTGGCCTATACCTGTAGTCCTAGCTACTTGGGAGGCTGAGGTGGGAGGAATGCTTGAGCCCTGGAATTTGAGGCTACAATGAGCCACGATCTCACCACTACACTCAGGCCTGGGCAACAGAGCAAGATCCTATCTCTTAAAAACACAAATAACCAACTTGCAATTTAGGTGGAAAAGTGAAGTAATATTACATCATTTTTCATTCAACAAACACTTATAAAGTACTTACTACTAAGTGCTGGACCTAGGCACTATGCCAGAGGCTCAGGTTAAGATGTAGTCTGAGTCAAGTGACTTAGGGGACCACTCAAAGGTCACTTGCAGGTATATGACTTCACCTGTCATCCATCCAACAAGTATTCTTGTAAGCCTACTACATACTGTTCTAGGTGACAGCAGATGTAGCAGTAAATAAAACAAGACAAAACAAAGTTCTCATTCTCACAGAGCATCCATTACGGTAAGGGGAGAAAACGAAATAGAAACATAGCAAGTAATTATAAAAAAGAATAAGGAAAAAAAGGACAGTAATTTTATATAAAATAATGACATTCATCTTCATGTTAAGGATACATCTACTGAACAAACCTTTTATTTATGCATTTAACTGGTATCTTGAAAGGTACCAATTGCCTCCCAATCACCAAATTAAATGGAATTTCCTCAGTCCCCATTTTCCTTGTATTCCTATAAGCAACTGATACTGCTGACCGCCTTCATTTTGAAACTCCAGTGGTTTGCATGATAAATTTACTATTCTGGTTCTTATCTCTTCACATTAGTGTGACATTAATGTAAGCTAAACACTCACATCTAGGAGTTGAGACCATCCCCTATTCAACAAAAGGAAAGAGGTTTAATTGAAGTGGAAACTAGATAGCACCTAGAGAAAAGTTTTCACTTGTTTCTTAATTTCCAGTAGTTTTTAGAAGATTATATAGCAATGCAATGACATTTATTCAAATCACTAGAGAGTAACAACATAATAAGCACCTGTACAAAATCTTACATTTTATGAAACCCTTTCAAATTTACTTCATTTAAACCTCATTAAATAATCCTATGAGGTAATAGTTGCATATTAAAAACAAAGTCCTGCTTCTCTGAATGACTTCACTAAAAAAACTACACCTAAATACTACCCTTTATTTTTTTCTTTAACATTTGGAAAATACTTTAAAGTGTAACGAAAAACTTAAGAAACATCTGTAATCCCAATATTCAAAAATAACATCTGCTAACATTCTGCCATTGAACGCTTCTTCCATCCCATCCCTATTACATTTAATAATTCTTAATTGCTTCATACTATCTAGAATATTAACGTTCTATAAAAAAGAAGTTTGCTTTTTACTTAAAAATAAACAATCTGGGGGCGGGGGGACCATACTGATCAAACTGACTGTGATATCAACTGAAACAATTTTTATAATTTTTTCAGTTGTAGTTTTAGAGTTACAAGTGGAAAAAGCAGCATATTTATTCAATAAATGTTTACGTGTGCGAAGCAACACAAACAAAAATTATGTGCATGAAGACACCAAGATTCTCACCTGTTCAATCTCTTTGGTTTTTGATGCTATTGCTTTAGAGCGACTGGTTAGCTGACTATCTTCAAATAATTCTATGCCATCTGCTGTGTTTGACGCAGGTTCCTCTGGCTGGTCAGTAAATAATGGTGCTGTGGATCCTGCCTTGAAAAGGAATTATAAACCTTTCATTACTTTCTTAAAAAATATAGAACATTTCCGATGGTTGTGTATAGGCACTAATTGGCAAATTATATTAAGTGGTAAGTTTAACCGGTCGTAAGGAAAGAAAACTCTTGCAATTTCACTATGCATGATGAGCATATGTCAAATAGATTAGAGAGGAAATGACTGCTACTTTTTTTTTTTTCAATATGGACAGTTCATGAATTTGCATGTCATCCTTCCGCAGGGGCCATGCTGATCTTCTGTTTCATTCCAATTGTTATTGTATGTGCTGCCGAAGCAAGCGAGACGGGTACTTTTAAAATTTAGGTAAGATGGCCGGGCGCGGTAGCTCAAGCCTGTAATCCCAGCACTTTGGGAGGCTGAGGCAGGTGGATCACGAGGTCGAGAGATCGAGACTATCCTGGTCAACATGGTGAAACCCTGTTTCTACTAAAAATACAAAAAAAAAGTAGCTGGGCATGGTGGCACATGCCTGTAATCCCAGCTACTCAGGAGGCTGAGGCAGAAGAATTGCCTGAACCCAGGAGGCGGAGGTTGCGGTGAGCCGAGATCGCGCCATTGCACTCCAGCCTGGGTAACAAGAGCGAAACTCCGTCTCAAAAAAAAAAAAAAAAAAAAAAAAAATTTAGGTAAGACAAAGCCTCTAGGCTTATTCAATTCCAAAATATTATTTCAAACTATATTAAGATACAGCTAAAAAATTCTTGTCCCATGACTATTCCTTAAGCAATCAGTTTACAAAATACTGAGGAGAAAAAGTCCAAATGGAAGTGAGAAGTGTTTTACACACATAAAGAAATATTTTTAAAGGGAATATAAGAAAGGGTTCTACCTTTGAAAGTTCAATCACCTTGTTCCTGTAGCCTAAGAATTCATTGAAGTCATTAAAAATAAAGTCCCACAAATAATAATGACCACTTCAGATTTAGACCAATAATTGAATGAATAAACATACTGTCAATTACGTCTAAAATAGTCAGAAGGAGCCTATACACACACATAGACTATCTCTAGAACGATGTTATCTACAGAAAAAAAGATCAAAGGAATTGTCTCAATAGTAACAACTTGGAAGAAGTAGGATAGAAGAGCCACATTGTAAATACTTTGGTGCCATTTGAATTTCTGACACATAACATGTATGATCTACAAAAGGAAAAAAAAAACCCTAGTTTTTTTTACAAGTCTGAGTAAGGGACTTATATCAACAGCATAAAAATCATTTAAAGAAAGAATTCCACTAGCAACATTATTTGTAAATTGCCCAGTCCCTGTGCCTGCTACTGCAACACAAAACTAAGACATAGGCCTACACACAATATGTAAACTGGTGAGCAAAGAAAGCACATCAGAGCAGACAGGAGCTTTCAAAAAACAAGCATGTGAAAAAGAAAACAAAACTGACAGTTAAAAGAGCTCATTAGTAATTAAAATTAACTTAATCCAAAGTACTGTAAAGAAAACAAGGGAAGCATGAGACACATTCAACATATATTACTAGACAAAATTAATTAATTGAAGTCATCAAAGAAATATAGAGTAGCATAAAAGTTTACACTAGGTAGAAAAGTAGAATCAAGAAAGATCTTGAGTTGCGTTATCTCCAACACTATTGATTCCACTGAATGAGTACAGATTTGAAAAAGAGCCATGGAAGATGGTCATTCTAGTTTACGGACAGGATAAGCATAGACATTGAAGCCAAAAATAACACCCTATATGTGAAAACAATATGTCTTTTTTTTTTTTTTTTTTTTTTTGCTTTTAAAAAATGCTTTATATTATTCTTTTTAAGAAATGCAACAAGAACCTTACAAACCATCTGAAGAGTAAGCACAAAGACCGACTCTGTTTGTGGTGCCACCACAGTTGCAGAAAGGAATGTCAGGCAGTCAGAAAAGAATTGTGTTTCGGTCACTCTGCATGGTTGCTGCCACACATGGAACGTTTGTAGGCCAAGATTTTAAAATTCCCAGTTAAGGTAAGCAGGAAATTAGATGATCTTCATTAAGACTCCATGGGTGTGTCTGAGCTCCTGCTGCCAAAAGGGCCACTAACAGATTAATTTGCACTCCTGAGAACAAGCCTCTCTTGTCTTCCTAATGCTTCATTTAATGAAGAGACTGTGCTTATATCCCAGACCCGAAGCCCTTCTTTTTCACCTCCAAAGGCATAAATAAATGGCAAATCAGGGCAACATGAAGAATGGAAGAGAATTCCCACTTTCATGACCCTAGAATGAACTAGACTTGGCCTATCTCCTTAAGATGTCCTAGATCTTCACATACTTGTCTGTTGAAGCAGTCATGAGACAGACCCTTGATTTGACCAGAGATTTCATCATTGTGTGCATTAAGTATAAAAACTGGCTTACCTGAACGTGCATCCAAATCATATACAAAGCCATCATCTGTACTGGCCAAAAAATGAAAAGGTGAAAAGCGATTCTAAGTCACTCTATCTGCCCACTGAATCACCAAATTCAATGGCTTTCATCTGGACTTTGGCAGTCATACAAAGCCACTGACTTGTCATATGAGCCAGAAATCAGAGTCTGTGCTGCAAGTGGATGAAACTACAGCATCTGGATCTTATCTGTGGGTACAGCAAGGCAAGCTGCTGCTTTCTCCAATGACATATCCCACAGAATGACGGTGTTGTCAGCTGATCCACTTGCCAAAACATTTCTGATTAGCTTATTCCATGAAAGGTCAAGGACAGCATTGATATACTCTTCTGCTGATTAACTCTTCTTTCCTTTCTTCTTTTTTTTTGAAAGTTTACTTCTGAGTGTGAAGACTGGCTCTAGAGTCCACTATATCAAGGTCCCACACTTCAATAACAGGGGTATTGTTTCCTATAGCCATGTAATTTCCAGTAAAATCATCTGGGCTAGGATCAAAATTCAGTCAGTCCACACTAAGAGGATATGCAGACAAGAGTATATCATGGTTTACGCAAAGAGCCTTCTTGATTATAAACATGCACCTCTAAATTGCACTGGTCCTGTTCAGCTGAGCCACAAACTGTGAGATTATCACTGGGATTAATCAAGAAATCTTCACTTTCATATTGTTCCGCATCTTTCAGAGTAACTTAACGATCCTGATCGTAACAATCCTCCTGATCATAACTCCCATAGACCATAAGACGCAAGAAAGATTAACCAAGAGTCTCAGCATCCGGGTCACCTTCCTCATCAATAGTATTTATCTAAGTCACATTCAGCCAGCTCATTATCATTGTGCGTCCTGTCACCCTCCGGGTAACCATCCTCTTGGGCGTGCTTGGGTGTATGCACTTTGCATGTCACCTTCTGAACGACTCCTCTTCATCATTGCCACCTTCTTCTTGGAGTTTCTCCTTTGCCTCAGAAATGAGACGTTTTACTTCTTTACTCAGCTCTACCTTGTCTGGTGTCTCTTTGGCCACGCTGCAGTGGACCCAAGCCACACAAGTAACCTGGCAGCTATGGTTCATGATCATCAGCTCAAGGGCGTGTCAGGCTAGAAACACAGACACAGTGAGAGGGACCACTGCCGCACTGCAGCCGCACACCCGGGGCTTCTCATGGGGCCGCTCGTAAGTCAAAAATTTCAAATTTTTCTTCTATAGCAGGAAGTGACTATTCTATTTTTTTTTTTCTTTGAGACAAGGTCTTGCTCTGCCACCCATGCTGGAGTGCAGTGAAGCAATCATGGCTCACTGCAGCCTCAATCATCCAGAAACAAGATCCTCTCACCTCAGCCTCCTGAATAGCTGGGATTACAAGCACATGCTACCATGCCGAGCTAATTCTTTGTGGGATTTTTTTTTTTTTTTTTTTTTTTTTATAGATGGGGTCTCACTATTTTGCCCAGGCTGGTCTCAAACTCCTAGGTCAAACAATCCTCCTGCCTTGGCCTCCCGAAGTGCTGGGATTACAGGTGTGAGCCAGTGTAGCTGCCCCTCACCACCCGACTCCCTTTTTTTTTTGAGACAAGGTCTTGCTCTGTCACCCAGGCTGGAGGGCTGTGGTGTGATCACAGGTCACTGCAAACTTCAATTCCTGGGCTCAAGTGATCCTCCAACCATAGCCTCCTCAGTAGCTCGGACTAAGGGGCCACCACACCCAGTTCTGTTTTTTTTTTTCTTGGTAGTAACAAGACCTCACTACATTGCCCAGGCCAGTCCCAAATTCCTGACCTCAAGCAATCCTCCTGCCTCAGTCTCATCTACTGGGACATTCTAATATTCTTCAAATAATTTTTTTTTTCATTCCGACAACCAACAGAAAACTCTCACAGCTATTTGTTTAAGGACAGCAAATTATATCTCCACAAAAATTGACTGCAACCTCCTTGATGGCTAGGATAGTGTTTCAAAAGCAATGTCTAACACAAGTAGATAAGCACTGCATATTTAGTGAATTTAAATAAACTATAAGAAAACTAGCACAGAATTTTTTAAAGTGTGCCTTAATACACTAATCCTGCAATATATGCTGTGAAAAAAAATTACATAGTCAAAAGTTGGTAAATTATGCAAACTTTTATTCGCCCTCTTACTGACACTGATGAGTGTATTAATAATGCATTAAAATCTCTTAAAAGTGCTGAAATATCAAAACCAACCTAACCATTTTAAACCTAGCATTTCTCAAATACACTGGCTATTAGAATCTTTTTTTTCCCTTCCTCAGACCACTAAGACCCTTCAGACTAAGCATAGTCTTTCACTTTCAACTTTTGGGCTTCTAATACAGCATTTCCCAAAGTATCAAATATAGTATCAAACACTTTGGGAAATGCTAGTATAAAACTGAAGTATAAAACTGAAAAGAGGCAGGAACCACAACATGTCTGAGTATTTCAATATATTATTGAATTTACCTTCAATTTCACTGAACTTTCTATAAACTACAGGTTTTCCCAAATTGCTTACAACTATACTGATGGCAGCAAGTGAAGATAAACTGGAAACTTAAGCATTCTCTCTAAGCTCGTAATAATGTAATTTATACAATGTTTCTAAAGTACATGAACCATTACTTAAAAGGCTCATATAAACTAAAATATTGCCACTATTAGATTTAAACACAGATGCACATTCACACATACACAATGTTTCTTGGCATCAAAGGCCTTTCTTCTTTCCAGGTTATTCTGTCAAGTTAGATATGAGTTTACAGGACCAAGGCCAAAATTTTATTTCTCAATAAGCATGGACTACTGAAATGAGTAACTATTTAACAATAGCCTGAGAACTACTGTAAAATAGTTACAAAATTACCAAAATATTAATAAGCAAAAATATAAATAAGAGAAAAATATTAAGATGATATGGGTCTAAGTTTACAAAAATTATCATAAAAATTTCCCAAAGGTTTTATTTACAGTATGAAAAAGTATCAATCTAAGTGGAAAAACATTTTAGAGAACGGGATGAAATTGATGCTCCTGTTCAACATTAATGTTATACAGAAATAAACATATTATGGTTATCAATGCTACTCTCACATATTTTGCCTTTGATCCAACAAAAGAACATGTCTGACCTATGACTACATTTACGGATTTTTAGGGTTATTTAACTTTTCATTAATTCAAAATCTAGCAAATTCTGAGCAAACTTTAAAGGAAAAAAAAAAGATGTTTAAAAAAACTGTAAATCCAATGTCACTCACTGATTATTCAGTGTCAAGATGCAGTCAAGAAATGAGAGAACCCAAGTAGAATATTTAAAATTTGAGAAAAGTAGTGAGCTTTTATAAAATCCTGAGATAAAAAAATGTTAAGAGAAGGGAAGATGAATATATAAAGCCTTGCTAATTGAAGATAAAGTATTTAGGAAACAAGAAATTATTCTTTTTGGAAGTTTCTGGTTCTATAAAACAAACTACCAATATTCCAAAGCAGCAATTTTGAAGCATACATATCAATTATTAACATAGAAACACTATTCTAAATTATTAGAGAAAATAACCAAAATAATCCAATTAAATGTATTACTGAAAAGTATTGTTCATGCTTTTAAATAGTGCTGGAAAAGTACCAAGGAGGAATAGCTTGGTGTTTCTGATCCACGGAAGGATACGCATAAGTATCTATTATTATAGTTACAATAAGGAGAAAACCTTGACCCACTTAAGAACAATTGATATCTAAAAGACAGATCAGCATTTTTAAAAAGAAAGGCTCGGCCGGGCGCGGTGGCTCAAGCCTGTAATCCCAGCACTTTGGGAGGCCGAGGCGGGTGGATCACAAGGTCGAGAGATCGAGACCATCCTGGTCAACATGGTGAAACCCGTCTCTACTAAAAATACAAAAAATTAGCTGGGCATGGTGGTGCGTGCCTGTAATCCCAGCTACTCAGGAGGCTGGGGCAGGAGAATTGCTTGAACCCAGGAGGCGGAGGTTGCGGTGAGCCGAGATAGCGCCATTGCACTCCAGCCTGGGTAACAAGAGCGAAACTCCGTCTCAAAAAAAAAAAAAAAAAAAAAAAAAAAAAAAAAAAAAGAAAGGCTCTATTTGTGTAAGTTCTGATAGGGTTTGTACTTTTTATGAGCAGTTTTCACTAGGTACTTTGGAAAGGATCTTTTCAGTGCATAAACATGTAGTTAAGCACTATTTTTATATAGAGTATCAATGCTTGATCCCTTTTATCAAAGAACTATCTATAAAAGTCATTCCAAAAGTAAATTAAAAAGCCAGAATTCTCCTTCAAATACAATAATTTGTCACGGGACAGATTTTTATATTGTCTACCAGTCATGTCAAAGAACTACTCTAGTATCAAATTCTGAATCTAAAAGCTTAATTTTGCCCATAAAATTTCTATATTTCCCTTTTAGACAGGTTACAGGTTATATAGAAACTTTTCAGTTCATTTCAAAATATGTTAATAAAAATATGTCATAAATCTTTTTCTATGGTTCCAAAAATGTCCTCAACTTTTTGGACTCAAGACTCATCAAAGTCTCAGGTTGCCCAATGAATAACTTCATTTCTTGAAATATTTACGAGATAATCTGCATGAAGTATAACAAGCAATATAAATATGGTACAATCCAAGGTCCAATTAGATTTCTGTTCTGAATTCACTGGCTTATAACTAGTGGCTTAGCATGATTTCCTGAGATACTTTTAACGGCAAAGCCCATTAAAAGAAGTATATAAATAATGCATTTTTCTTATACTCCATATTTATACTGTTCTTACACTCCAAAACTACAGAAAATATTCAGACAAAGCGTGATTACTGAATTCAGTCATTCATATTCAGACTATCATTCTGTGTGGTAAATTTTAATACCTGTAATCCATGAGGCTATATTTTGAGGTAAGGAATAAACCAAATATTTTCAACCCATAATTTAAAATCCAGACAAAACTTTCAGATGTGAAACATAAAAGAGAAATTATGCCTTACCTCATACTCAGAAATTTCAGGCAAGTTACTTTCATCTGATTTCTCTAGCTTTTCAGCAGCCCACTTGCTTGCAGCCTCAGCAAGTTCCTTTTCAGTTAGCCTACTGGGTTTGTCTAACACCTAATAAAAATAGAAGAAAATTTCTGTTACAATTCTCAAGGGCTTTTAAACTTCAAATACACCAAGAAGTACACTCCACTTACACTTAAAATCATATATGCCTTCATATTTATATGAAGAACAGGTACATTCTTTATTTCCTCCTTCAAAAATATTCAACCTAGAATTACTTAAGGTAGCAATTCCTTTGGGACATATAGACCAGATCTAACTCTTAATTTCATTTATATAAGACTCTAGAAATTCATCTAAGTAAAAAACCAAAAGACACTAACAATTAACCCATATACTAATCATATTTAGAATATAAAAGACATCATACTAATTTCAACTTTGTGTCTTTAAGTATATCTAATGAAATGTCTAAATTTCAGTAAGGCAAACTCCTAATTAATACAACAGAAATATACAAATATGCTATTTTTACACTATATAGTGAGTTATATAAATCCTATTCCTTACACAAAACTTTTAAACTTAAATTTCATTTTTTGGTCCTACTACTAGTTCCTGTATCTAACTGCATGTAATACTAAACAAGTTATGGGCGTGGCAGTTATACACAGACCTGGTTTTCAACTGCAGTTTAATGACTTGCTAGTGGATGACTTTATATGTATAACTTATGACCCTGTGAGCCTTGGTTTCTTCATTTACAAAGTAAGGGTTAATAATAATCACTTTACAAAGCAGTTGTGAGAATTGAAGGAGGAAATAGATCTGAAAGTATCTAAAATAATGCTTGGTACTTTAGTGTTTCTTTTCCATATTCACCAATGTGAAATCTATTATACTAAAACATCTGAAAATCAATCAGCCCACGGGCTCAATATAAAAATAAAGAAAGTAAAATGTTTTTTCTGGATCAGATATAATTCCCCCAGCACTATTTAAAGGCTTATTTTGTATAATAAGATATGAACAGTAAAGAACAAATTTAAAAATTATTTCCTTAGGACCATTATGATAACTCTCTAATTTCATTTGATTTCCTTGGCATACATTTTCATCAACTATGCCCTGCCATGCCTAGTTGCATAACCACATCTTACTTAAAAAATCTTTCTATTACTAAGGTTTACTTCTCTAAAGTCACATCACTGATTCCAAATATACTTCTTGTGGGTGACAGTGCTGGGCACTGAACTATGGGGCACTACCATTTATAAAGTGCTTTTATTTATGAACCAAAAGAAGTACTTTAATTAAATAGAATTCCATGAAGGTGATTAGAACTTTATTTTCCCAACTTATAAACTAAGAAACTGAATGACGGTAACTTGCTCAAAGTCACTAACAAATGCTGAGCTGGAATTTAAATCTAGGCTTTTTGGAGGGATGGGGGGATAGAATCTCACTCTGTCACCCAGGCTGGAGTACGGTGGCATGATCTCGGCTCACTGCAACCTCTGTCTCCTAGGTTCGAGCGACTCACCAGCCTCAGCCTTCCAAGTAGCTGGGATTACAAACATGCACCAGCATGTCAGAATAATTTTTGTATTTTTAGTGGAGACGGGGTTTCACCTCATTGGCCAGGCTGGTCTTGAACTCCTGGTGATCCACCCATCTCGTCCTCCCAAACTGCTGGGATTACAAGCGTCAGCCACCATGCCTGGCCTAGACACTTTTTTTTAAACTAAAAAGGTCATTTGATGTCTTTCCACACCTTATTAAATTCATCAAACTACTGGCTGGCCATTTACAATATTTACTGGAATATTATAGCAATATATCTATATGAAGTATATTCCACAACCATTGAGGAAGCCTAAACGGCTCATTCTAAAGCCCTTCCCATATATAAGTTTTAAAAGGTATTATATGTAATATCTTTATTATAACTTAGTAATAGAAAGTTTTTTTAAAAAGCTAGTTAATAGATGAAAACACATACATACACACAAATATATCCAAGAAAGTTGGGGTTTTTTCGGAGGGGTGAGGGAGCCTATTTAACAGAAAGTTAAAGAGCAAAAACAAGTAGTTATATGACTTCTGTCTAGCAAAGAATGAAGTGGCTGGGCACGGTGGCTCACACCTGTAATCCCAGCACTTTGGGAGGCTGAGGCAGGTAGATCACCTGAGGTTAGGAGTTCAAGACCAGCCTGCCAACATGGTGAAACCCGTCTCTACAAAAAATACAAAAATTAGCTGGGCGTGGTGGTGGGCACCTGTAATCCCAGCTACTTGGGAAGTTGAGGCAGGAGAATTCTTTGAACCTGGGAGGGGGAGGTTGCAGGGAGGCAAAATTATGCCACTGCACTCAATCCTGGGCGACAGAGTGAAACTCCATTCCCCACCCCTACCTGTCCTACAAAAAAGAATGAAGCAAAGCCTACTATAACTTATTGTCATTCTGTCTGCACATTCGAAAACCTATCATTTGAAACTAACAAACGCTGAAAAACTTTCCCAACATGTGGGCAGCCATTACATGAAAGAGTTCACCAAATCAGGAAATCTAAGCTCATAAAGCTCGCCACAGTTACCATGTGACCTTGGGCAAATGAAAGAAGGCGCTACCTTCTGAATACATAAAATAACTATGGATCTAAAACCATGCTATTTTGATTCCATTTTAAGACTTTATGGTCTGGCTAGGCACAGTGGCTCATGCCTATAATCCCAGCACTTTGGGATGCCAGGGTGGGAGGATCACTGAGACCAGAAGTTTGAAACCAAGCTGGGTAACATAGCGAGATCTCATCTGTATTTTTATATACCCCCCAAAATAAAAAAAAATAAAAAAACTTTACGGTCTGTGTAACAAAAATGCAAACATATACATTGGGGGGTCCAATCTTTGGCTTGCCTGGGCCATGTGAGAAGCATTGTCTTGGGCCACCCATAAAATAAACCAACACTAAGCATAGCTGATGAGCTTTAAAAAAAAGAAAAAAAAGGGAAAAAAATCGCATAATGTTTTTAAGAAGGTTTAGGAATTTGTGTTGGGCTAAATTCCAAGCCGTCCTGGGCCACAGGTTGGACGAGTTTATATACGAGAAACTATTAGACAAAAATAGTTAAAAAATTCAACATGGTTGTTCTCCACTAAACATTTTAACATGCAGCACAGAACTCTATGTTGTAACTTATATTCAGATAGCAGTATATCTCAGAGAAAATATTTCATATGTAATAATGTAAATTTTTGTAGTGACTTTAATAGGCAGGTACTATTCACTCTTCTTTCATCTACTACCTGACATGAAAAACAAGCCAGTCTTACAGGTGGGTAAAGTGTCCTTGATATGATTAAGAGCAAATCATAATTCAATTAGTATTAGTTATTCAAAGTCCAGCATCCCAGAACCCTCAGACTTCCAAGAAAGTTCCAAAAATACGAGTTGTTACAAAGCAGACTTTTTTTTTTCCTTCTGAGACAGGGAAGCAACTGCCCGCTGAACAACCAGTATAGACTGTTAGGTGGTATCTCTCTTTCTGAAAAGCCAAAAAGTATAAAAAGCAGAACAAAAAGAAGTGAAGCAGATAACAAATGTAACAACCATTACGGGTAAGAGAAAGATGATAAGATCTGTGAAGAGAACCTCTAACTGGAGAAAACAAATGGAAACAGCAACTTGTCAAATTTTTAATTTCTGAGGATTTATGTTTTAAGATGACATAGTGAGGGGTAGCTAAGTCCTTAAGAAATTAATTTAACTCCTGAGCCCTCACTCTAGTATAGAATAGAGATATGAACCTACTAACATAAGATTTCTGTATGAATTAATAAAAGGAAGAAAATACACCATACATGTTACGTCTCTGCCTACATGCCCCACCTCCCCAAATAAAAGGAAAATCAACCAGATATAACCCATTCAACCTGGTTATGGTCAAGATGAGAACACAAGTTGCAGCAATAAGTACTTTATTTAGCATAGACTGTGTCAAAAATTCAGTGAGAAAACTGCCCATTTTTCTCACAGAAAATAGTGAACTCGGGATGCTATTTTCAAGTTGTGGTTATTTAAAATTTTAGCTTTTTGTTTGTTTTTCTTTGTTAGAGAGAGCATCTTGCTCTGTCACCCAGGCTAGATTGCAGGGGTGTAATCATAGCCCACTCCAGGCTTAACCTCCTGGACTCAAGCAATCCTCTCACTTCAGCCTTCCGAGTAGTTAGGACTACAGATGCATGCTACCACATCTGGCTAATTTTTAATTTTTAAAATAAGGTCTTGCTATGTTACCCAGGCTAGTCGTGAACTCCTGGCCTCAAGCAACTCTGTCATCTCAGTCTCTCAAATCACTGGGATTACAGGCATGTGCCACCACCACTCCTAGCCAAAAATTTAAGTTTTTAAATGCAGCAAATTAGCCCCTTTGGTGTAACAGTTAATTAAAAAAAAAAAAAAAAGCATCAGTACTAGTCAGTCCATCTCATTTTGTACTGATTTTAGAAATATAACAAACCTTTGATGTAGAAGCTGCTGAAGCACTTGAGGGCGAAGTATCTCTTGATGTTTTCAAAGACTGGACAGGCCTTTCTTTGTCTATATAAGAAAATATAAGATGTAATTTTTTTCTAGCTAATTTGTTTTCAATAAAGTTATTTTGCAATGGAATTAATGAGGGGGTCACACACTTATTTTAGTACTAAAACTTTTCATTACATTATTAAATTAAATAGGTTCACATCTAAAACTACCTCTCAGAAGCTGAGCGCCATCAATAATCTAAAATAACCTGGAATCAAAGGATATCACAAAAGCCAATCTAGGCCACATCACTGCCAGTTAGCAAACATGGAGCCACAGAGACCTCAAGAAAGGCAAAACATATTTTAAAATCATAAATGCTACTTCCTTCATGCTCCTAAATGCTAATTTTTGATATATTACAATAAAAATACAAAGGTAGTTATTATATAGATACCAAGGAGAACCTACTTAAGGGGTAGCTCAAGGAGCAATCTACATAGGAACTTTAGCAGATATTCCTGAAATGTTTAGACAGTTTTAAACATAAAATTAGAAAACTATAATTAAGAGCACTAATCCAGTGCCTAGCATTAACGAATGCCCAAATACTTATTAAATGGTTAAAAAAAAACTGGTATGAAATAAAGTCACTAATCTTTTTCTTTAGTCACTTTACTCACATAGTGCTATATGCATATCATTTATTTAACAGAAACTTAAGCCAGAAAATACATTTAAACAATATTACTTTAGTAGGTTCAACAACTCCTTAAAAGACCGGTTTAAATATAATCCTAAAAATCAGTAACAGTGAGCTGTTACTTACAGAAAAACATTTCATCAAATTGTCTATATGTGTCAAATATATAATCCTCCACCCTTAGTTGCTAGAAAAACTAACAAAATTAATAACATGAGAAGAGAAAGTAGCATCGAGTTTGGAGTCACACAGAAGCTGACTGAGACTAGACAGTGGATTAACAGGAAAGCAGTCAGGAGCAAAAGCAGAGGTAAAATGACTTTGAAACTGAGGCAAAGCCAGCTTCAGTCAAAAAGCCTCTTAAGCTTTTCCTGCCACAGCCAAGATAGATAAATAAGGGCCTGGAGGCTAAAAGACTTCCAACCACCAAGGACAGTGGTGAATAACACCTTTCTAATGTCCTACAGACCCAAAACGCTTTCTCTAGCCTGGTGGTTCTTAACTGAGGACAATTTTGCACCTCCCCTCTGCAGACATTTGGCAATATGTGCAAATATTTTTGACTGCCACAAGTGGGAGAGTGCCACCGGCATATATTTAGTAGAAACAGGGATGCTGGTAAATATCCTGCTATGGGGGACACCCACAAACAATTATTTGGCCTTACATGTCAATCGTGTAGGGGTTGAGAACTCCTGCTCTAGGCTGAGTATTTCAATTTTGAAGCTCCAACACCTTTAGAAAGATACAGCCCTAGAATCTTTTAACTTGTGGTACCACAAGAGGCGTTCATCCTCAGCAATTTTAAACGTTCTTGTAGACCTTAAAACTCAAAAGAACCACCGCTGTATCCCAAACGGCCAAGAACATGATTTATTTAGTCATTCCTTATTGTATTTCCATTGCATATGGCAAATTCCACATTGTAGTATGATAGTGTCCGTCTATCCCACTACGCCAAAGGCTCCCAGAGGAACAAGTGTCATTGCTTATTCATTTCCAAATATCCGTGGCCTAATTAGCTCAAGTCCTTCAAGAAAAGGGTAAGCACTTGAAAATCAGATTAAAAAATGAACGTCACTTTTCTATCCCGAGGATGCAATGACCTCCCAATGCTATTCAGATAAGCAATCCCTTCAAAGGAGATGAGGCACTGGACCAATCAGCATAGCACATTATGCTCATTAAAGGCAATAATTACAGGCTCAATTTTTTAGCACATACCAGCTAGACACGGGGTGGGGGGGGAAGGACCTGTCACAAGCAGCTGTTGATCTTTTGCTTGGTGTTTCCTTTACAAACATACAAACATATGGTCCCCAAGTATAGTCTTAGACCTTTCCTGATTTTAGCAACCCAAAGGCTAATTTAAGTTGTTATCAACCAATTTCACGTGCAGAAGTGAAGGAACACTGAAGGGTGGTACAGGAGGCTTGTCATATACCTGCATATATTCATATGTCCCTGTTGCAGCAATGGGAGCAGAAAGCAAGCAGCAAAGCATAAAGAAAACAATGATACCAACAGCAAAAGAATGAACACAAAAAAAGTAAATAGAAATCATTTGATCCTATTGTTGTCAGGTCCTATCTTCTAATGGCCTGTTTATTCTACAGATCTCAGCCTCCTATGGAGTGGCTATTCCCAACCAGGAATGGCTAGCCCAAACACCAGCCCACAAATACCTCCCGAACCCTAGTACCTAGGTCTACTGTTGTTTAAATCTGGTTTGGAAAATAGAATAACGGAGCAGTTACACACTTTCCCCATTTCCATAACCTCTATCAATTCAAGTCACCCACCCCTTCACAATCCCAAATCAGAATCTAGCTCAAAACTCACCTCTTTCAGAACTTCCTTCATTCTGCCGTTTGTACGATGCACCAGGACGCACGGACTCTATGGAAAGGTGGGCAGGGAGGAATTAACACCAGCACCTCTGTGCCCAAGAGGAACAAGAGAAGAACCCAGAAGTAGGAGTGATGAGAACAGGGACTTCTGAGCATTTTCTGGTGACCTTGAACTCTTTCCTACCCTACTTTCAAGTTGGGCTGCCTGAGCAATCACCACTGAAGGGGAATAAATAATGGGAGAAAAAAAAATCTCCGTTTAAGGCCAGAAACCAATGGAAACTGTCAGGGTAAGGCCAACCAAGGATAACAAGGGCAGAAAGCAATGAGAAAAGGTTCATAGCAAGACAAGACACTGAAAGTTGAAGACAAAGATCAAATCTTATTCATCACTAGAAGTACCTAGTCGAATTCTCTCCATCAATAAAGCTGACACTAGAAGGCCTGGTAAAGCAGCACACCTGCATACACAGTCAAAAATGAAAGATGAATCACTCCTACAAGTTAAAAAAGGACACTGGTTGAGCCCCTAATTACCCCACATTTAGAATCTTGAAATATTCTGTTAGCTTCCTTGTCTGCAAACTCAATGATGTGGATGGGATCATCTTTCTAAATAACCTAAACATAAGGGCCGGGTGCGGTGGCTCAAGCCTGTTAATCCCAGCACTTTGGGAGGCCGAGGCAGGTGGGTCACAAGGTCAAGAGATCGAGATCATCCTGGTCAACATGGTGAAACCTCGTCTCTACTAAAAATACAAAAAATTAGCTGGGCGTGGTGGCACGTGCCTGCAATCCCAGCTACTCAGGAGGCTGAGGCAGGAGAATTGCCTGAACCCAGGAGGCGGAGGTTGCGGTGAGCCGAGATTGTGCCATTGCACTCCAGCCTGGGTAACAAGAGCGAAACTCCGTCTCAAAAAAAAAAAAAAACAACTAAATATACTAGTAGTCGGGGTCCCAGGTATTTTCCCAGTAAGATACAAATTCCGTAAAAATGACATCAAATCCTTCTACTACAGATCCCAAGTTGCCAATGTTACATTTTTTTTACTGAGAAAATAACATTTTTCCTGAATTGTTTTGGCATTATCGACATCTTACCCTGAAATGTTTCAAGAAACATCATACAAATATTGCCATTTTTGCAATGATGTTGAGGATGCAGTATCCTTTTCTCATTATTCACTGGTCTCTCTGGCAACTGGGAAGTTTTCTTCCTCCTAATAAGCTGATTTGTTTTTAATGTGAAGTACACTGTCGACACTTTTTTTTTTTTTTGAGATGGACTCTCACTCTGTTGCCCAGGCTGGAGTGCAGTGGCGTGATCTTGGCTCACTGCAATCTCTGCCCCTAGGTCCAAGTGATCCTCCTACCTCAGCCTCTCGAGAAGCTGGGATTAAAGGTGCCTGCCACTGTGCCTAGCTAATTTTTTAAAAATATTTTTAGTAGAGATGGGGTTTCACCATCTTGGCCAGGCTGGTCTTGAATTCCTGACCTCGTGATCCACCCACCTCCACCTCCCAAAGTGCTGGGATTACAGGTATGAGCCCCAGCATCCATCCAAACCCTTAGATGACCTACAGCAATTGCTCAGAGCCTCATGATGGACAATCATTTCATGCACTACTAACTTTATTATTGATTCTTTTACATTTGTTTTGTCAAACCCTTAGTTTACCTATAGCAACTGTTCAGAGCCTTATGATGGGCATTTATTTCCTGTACTACCAACTTTATTCTTACTTTTACGTTCCTATCCTTATTTCCCCCTTTACACAAAATTCCTCCTCCACTTATTTAATCCTATTTTATTAAGTGTTTATTTCATTAAGCTGCCTCAAATTCTTTCTCAAATCAAAATGATGATGATATATCAGAGAAAGGTACTGGAGCCTTAGGCCAATTCGTATTAGCTCCTGACAGTGGACTGCATGCAACCCTTCGAAACTTTGTCTTCAGTTGCTCCATGTTGGTAGCTGAACTACGATGAAAGAATTCACTCCATAGGTATCAGCAAATGCTAAAAATCTTATCTTTTTAACCTTGGAGAGTCAGTTTACCAATACGCCACTGTGGATGTTTTTGATTTTTATTCCAAACTTCAGAGATGCTGTAGGCATTACCACATGTAATTACAGATTCCCATTAGTACTGTCTTAGGTAGGCTTGGACTATATAACAATCTTCTAACAGACTAGTAAAACTACCCAGCTAAATTACAGTCATGAACATGTAAGTAGTTACTGTTTTAATTCTCTAAGTTTTGGGGGGGGTTTTGTTTTGTTTTGTTTTGTTTTGTAACAGAATAAGAGATAATAGAAACAGCACCCACTGTATTTAAACTCTTCATCCCAAAGTGTCCACTGATGTGCTCATATTAAAACTGAAAAGTCTCGGCCAGGCGCGGTGGCTCAAGCCTGTAATCCCAGCACTTTGGGAGGCCGAGGCGGGTGGATCACGAGGTCGAGAGATCAAGACCATCATGGTCAACATGGTGAAACCCCGTCTCTACTAAAAATACAAAAAAATCAGCTGGGCATGGTGGCACGTGCCTGTAATCCCAGCTACTAAGGAGGCTGAGGCAAGAGAATTGCCTGAACCCAGGAGGCGGAGCTTGCGGTGAGCCGAGATTGCGCCATTGCACCCCAGCCTGGGCAACAAGAGCAAACAAGAGCAAAACTCCGTCTCCAAAAAAAAAAAAAAAACTGAAAGGTCTCATTCTTCTTGTCCTCTACTATAGCACTTTAAGGATTTATAAACAAGTTTTCCTTAATATTTTGCCATTTGTTTTTTGTATCTTTGTACTTCTGTTTTCCTCCCTACATTTTCATAGCTATCCCTTCCTCTTTCATTTTTGTTGGTTACTGTTCCTTAAACGTGAGTGTTCCTCCTAACATTAATCTTTTTGCTCTCTGTTTTTGTCTCCAACCAACATTATGAATACAAAAGTCTTTAAATTCTGCCTTTTTCACTCATTGTTCTACCTTCTAAACTAACAGGCTGCTACTAATTAGCTATTTAGCAATTACCTCAAATTCATCTCACACATGATCTTTGTAGGCAGACACTACCTCTCTGCTTGAGAGCAAGGTAAAAAGGTTGAAAACATTCCTGCCTTTGTTGTGACTTGCAAAGAAAATGAGTTCCAAATTAGGACAGAGGAAAGAAACGAGAAAAACATTCTGAAAGTGGCAGTACAGAAATCAAATCCCTGTCAATATATTTATGAGTGAAAGAATAAGAAGGAAAGAAAAAGGAATTTCAAATACTGGTTCCATATAATGTTTTTCCCATTGAGGTGAAATCAAAAGCTGGAAAAGCAGCTTAACATTTCACAACACACTCAGGAAGTTCTGCAAGTTTCAGAGTATTTGGTGACTCCTAAAATGGAACAGAAGATTGCAAATCTAACAGGATCTTTTACAAATACTTTGTTGCTGCTGTGTTTTCCTGCTAAAAGAAATGATAAATCTAACCAGAGTCACCCAATCAATCCTACAAATGCTATTCATTACTGACAACCCAGGTAAGAAAAAAAGGACACTGCAGGGGAAAAAAATAGCTTGATCATTTAGAGATGATAAAGTTAGGGGCTATGCCTTGCGAACTATCAGATTCTCAGTGCAGTGCTTGGTAAACAGGGACAAACAAGGAATTTTTTAGTGCAAGTCCCATCAAGAAACAACCTTCACCAACACAGGTGGTATATCCATCTCTTCTTTAACAGCTGAAGATTTGAAGAGAAATTAAGATACAAATAAATGAAGATGTGGCTACACAAATGAGAATATTCTTTTACTGAATCATGGATGAAGATGTGAGAATTTGCAACTCTTGGTTAGGAAGAACATGGTTTCTTAGAGATCTGTTGATTCATTCAAGAACATATGAATTAGAAAATGGAGAGACACAAGAAAAATTTCTTGTGTTAAAGACATCAAAAATGACAGAGAAAATAAACAGGTAGAGGGGAAGAGAAAGCATTGCATCACCTCTGCTTCCCTCAAGATCCATTTTTTCCAGATCAGAGTGGCAACAAGTTAAAGCAAAGGCCAACTGACTATGAAATACTTGGAAGTACACTTCTGAGTAGAGTTCCCCTTTAACATATCAGCTAAAATTAAGCGGGCTCATTTTTAAACATATTAGGAAAACATCATCTTTACACATTATGAATGTTTGCTACTGACAGAATATACTAAGTCCTAAAACAGGAATACAATAAAATGCCCACACACATAGCATTAATCGATTTGTTTTAGAACCTTGATCATTAAGATGCCAGAAAAGCTGTAGCTATAATCCTAAGATTTAGCTAGAAAACTCATAGCCAAAGCTCTCATGAATAAACAATGGATCCTCAAACAAGAAGAAAATATTATAGAATCTAATTCCACAGTGCATTAATAGTCAAGATCAAGTGATGGCCTAAATTGTTTCAGGGAACTATTAAATTATACTTCAGAGACTCCACATGATATAACTCATCCCCATAAACCTTCTCCATTAGGATCCTTCACCTTCTACTAACCCTTCAGGTATCATCTAAAATGTTTATTCCTATTTAATTACTTGTCTTCCTAACTAAATCATAAACTCAGAGGGCAGAGTTGGAAGCTGTCTTGCTTGGCAAACAATTTACGTTCAATATATTTTTGTTGATTAAAAGATGTAAGTATTGAACGCAATATAGTGGGCTTCGAACCAAGAAATGCTAGGACATTTTGCTGCTAAGAGAATGATTTTATCTTCTCTTCCTGTTGCCTAATATACATGATCTGATGATAAAGCTTTATTTCTATATTCCTATTACCTCTTCAAATCTGCACAGAAAAGCCTTCACCTAAAAGCAGAATTAAATTTCAAAATTTTATCAGAATGTCAGCTATATTACCAATAAGTCTACAGTAGTTTAAAAAAAATAAGAATTTCAGCTAAAATCAAAAATTCATGGGGACTTCAAAGTTTATTCACAGCCAACAGGCCAAAATGAACTCTATCTTCCAAATCAGGCGTCCCCAAACTATGGCCGCTGGGCTGGCCGCATGC